GTCTTGTGACTACTCGCCCGGCGTTTTTTCGGGGAGTAGGTTTAGGCGGCATTGATTATAATTGCGTTTGACGAGCATTTGACGACGAGGGGACGAGAGTAATTTCGAAAAGGCATGGAATTGGTTGCCTGATGACCCAAACAGTTGACGTCACAATGCAGTTATTAATGGGACACTATCTAGCAAGCGAGCGCGCATGGGAAGAAGACAAGTTTCACTGAAGCAGAAGGTAAAATCAGTGTTACAAGCTAAGACACTTCAACCCACCATGGCCCTCCGAATTGCTCCTGTGCCGATTTGCAACAGTTTCCATGCAGAATCTTTCCGTGCAGTCGATTAAGATTGCCAGATCAATTCTGCCCAGCTGGAAGCAAGAGGAAGGCAGTATCATATGACCCGATGCTTACACATTTCTCCTGCGACAAATCTCCCCCACTTGAAAGTTGTGCTTCAAATCAGTTTACCAAAGATTGTAAGTCTCTCAGCTGATCCACGTTTCTTGGGTATCCTTCAATGACGTATCCCAAACTCGACTGTCCAACTCGGTGTAGTTCATTGTAGAGTAGTCCACGGCACAGTTTCTACAAAACCCGACTTTAACGATTCATTGCAGATCCTGAATTCGAACTCAGTGCAACGCTTGAGTGAGATGAGTTTCGATTTTGTCTTGTTAAGGATGTTTTTTGCTGCACATCGTGTTGCGAATTTTGTTGTGAAACTTTTATTCTCAACTTGGACTGACAGTTACACTAGAGGTCTCTGAATTTGGGCTAGCCGTTACAATACTGATGGAGAGCGCTGAAGGTTTTTTTATTCGGTCGCATCCTGCCTCATGAGGCAAACGGCGTTAGCCTGATCGAATTTCGGGTGAGCAGAAGAAAAGATGGCCCACTCATAATAGGTAAACGGTTCTAATTTTTGAAGATTGACTACATCCAACTCGATAAGTGATTTTTTGGAGTGCTTTCTGTTTATGTGAGCGTTTCTCAGGAGAAGGGGATTTGATGTTCTTAAAAGCAGTATTGAGGAGGAAGAAGAGAGCATTCTGGCTCCAATCGGTACCATTTAATGGTTCAAAGATGGCCCACTCATAATAGGTAAACGGTTCTAATTTTTGAAGATTGACTACATCCAACTCGATAAGTGATTTTTTGGAGTGCTTTCTGTTTATGTGAGCGTTTCTCAGGAGAAGGGGATTTGATGTTCTTAAAAGCAGTATTGAGGAGGAAGAAGAGAGCATTCTGGCTCCAATCGGTACCATTTAATGGTTCATGTGACCTATAGAATGAATAACAATGATCGGACGATGTATAAGGTAATTCTTCAATTCTCCCGAGCAAATCTGAAGACAATCGAACTACCCCATAGAGATTTGAGCTCGCTTGACCTTATTCTGTGTCGACCCGGCATCCTATTTAAGGGCTTTGCTTCGACAGTGTGCCATATTGCATGACACACCGCCTCGATAAAGATAAAAAACGCTGCCTGAGAAAAACCAAATCATTTTGAAACTTCATTCAGGAAGTTTATAATCACCGTATTCCCCACTCGTCCTTAACAATCAAAACCAAAAGCAAATTTGGTCACCAAAACAGATGAACAGTGCAGAATGCTCATGCGAAGAGAAAGATCTTACCAAATTCAGTTTTGCAACAAGCCCCTACGAATTCGGGTGACGTTGCCTCACCGTCTAAGGCAACTCCCTGACTGAAGCTTCACCACTAAATGGTGAAGGGTCAAACAGACATTAGAGGGATTTAAACGTCCCGTGAGCGTGTGACACAGTGACCCCCCCAGTACTCCACCCTCACCCCTTGGGCCCCATCCGGGGTACCTTTGCT